CACATTTGTATGAAGTGCCTACTTCCAAAATACCTCCTACTCTTTTCCGGATTGAATGTGGTCACTGCAAGTGTCCAGTGTTAATGAAAGACAAAATAATATGTTACTTGCAAAATATGATAAAAACTCAACAGTATGTATTTTCAGAGAGCCCTTAGTATAAACCTGTAATTCATTTTTATTTCAAAGTGTCATTATAAGGGGGCTTCAGTATTCCTAAATGGAATATAGGCATAATTCACCTGATCCTTAATAGAAATGGACCCCATTTGTGCAGACAGAACAGATACAACAGAACATGATGAGACAGCTACCTCTACATCAGTACCTCTTTCAGCTTTTAATTTTTCTCTGGCTGTTGGCTGAAAGGGAAGTTATGCCCCGGTGTTCTCTGTGCTGTCACAGAAGCATTGTGATGGCAGTTTTAGAGTCGTATAAGAGTGATCCTGGGAAGCAGAAAGTGGGCTCTCGAAGCCTCCCAGATTCACTCATCTGTGTGGTCAATGGGTTTCTCAAGTTCTATGCATTGTCCATTTTGGTTCTGAGGAAATAGGGGTGAGGTGGAGTTGATGGAAGTTTGACTTACCTGGGGTGAGGGACTTGGCAGTGTATATAGAGAAGAATTCTGTACCATGCCCTTTGACCTTTCACACTGTTCCTCTAGAGCAGGTTCAAGCTAAGATAAAGAAACTGTAATTTTATGTTAATTTTTAATGCTTGGATTAAGATGCTGAACTGAATTTAGGAATGCGCTTAGATTATGTATTAAGATTTGAAAAAGTTATAGAATATACTGGAAACAATTCAAATATCCATCAACTAACAAATGGATAAACACATTGGGGTATATCCGTATGAAGGAATACTACTCGGCAATAAAAAGGAATTAGCTACTGATAGATGCAACAACATGGATGAATCTTAAAAGCATCATACTGAATGAAAGACGCCAGACACAAAAGAGCACATACTGTACAATTCCATGTGTATGAACTTTGAGAAGATGGAAAAATATCGTGACAGAAAGCAGACCAGTGCTTGCAGAGGCTGGGTGGAGGTAGGAATGGACCACAGAGGGCAGGATGGAACTTTCTGGGTAATGGAAATATTCTATATGATAATTATTAAGGCTGTATCTATTTGTCAAATCTCATCAAATCGTACACTTAAGATTGGTGAATTTTATTGTACATCCATTACGCTTAAATAAAACTGGTTAAAAAGAAAATATGGTAGAATTGGAGGGGGAGGGAGGGGATCCTAGAATGTGTTAATTCCTGGAAGTGACCAGAAAAATTATGGGGCAGTTGAGCTTCATCCAGAATCTGGGATTAACATGAGAAAAAATTTAAAGTGATGATGGAAGATAAAAATGAGAACCCATGAGTTCTTCCTGATCATAACTGTTTAATATATAAACCACCCATCCTAGTACTTAGCACATGGAGGCACTTAATAAATGCTGAGTGCTATTAATTCTCTTGTTGATGTTGTTATTACTTAGAACAGTGCACTAAGAGTGTCTAGACAACCTTTTAGGAGTTGTGAATGTAGACAGAACCTTGCTCCTAACCAGTGAAGAGGGCTTACGAGTTAGCTGGTTCTGATGATTTGAAATACACAAAAGGAGGTGGAATGTATCAATGACTGGTTTAGGCTAATTAATGAACTATTATGTATCCCAGAAGCTGAATATTAGAGCATCATTTCACAGACACGTTCTTAGCTTTTGTGTGTATGTCAAATCTTTTCTGAGCTAGCTCAACCCATTGGGAAGACTCTCATAAGAAGTTTGTATCTGATGAGAGCTGAGTTCCAAACTCTACAAGCATTCAACAAAAACGATGGCTGTATGTACAACATTGGGATCATTTTGAAATGTTTTTTGGCCGTGTGAGAAATGGAAGGTGTGCCAACAAAGACCACAGGAGTGTGAGGCACCTGTTAACCTTGATCATCACGTGGGATGTGCAAAAGGGAAAATGTAATAGACAACATTTATTGACTCATTTTTATTTTTATTTATTTATTAGGTTTAATTAATTAATTAATTTTTGGGCTGCATTGGGTCTTCGTTGCTGCACGCGGACTTTCTCTAGTTGCGGCGAGCGGGGGCTACTCTTCCTTGCGGTGCGCAGGCTTCTCATTGCGCTGGCTTCTCTTGTTGCAGAGCACAGGCTCTAGGCGCGCGGGCTCAGTAGTTGTGGCTCACGGGCTCCAGAGTGCAGGCTCAGTAGTTGTGGTGCACGGGCCCAGTTGCTCCACGGCATGTGGGATCCTCCCGGACCTGGGCTCAAACCTGTGTCCCCTGCATTGGCAGGCAGATTCTTAGCCACTGTGCCACCAGGGAAGCCCCTTGACTCTTTTTTTAAATTAATTTTTATTGGAGTATAGTTGCTTTACAATGTTGTGTTTGTTTCTACTCTACGGCAAAGTGAATCAGCTATATGTATGCATATATCCCCTCTTTTTTGGATTTCCCTCCCCTTTAGGTCACCACAAAGCATTGAGTAGAGTTCTTGTGCTATACAGTCTGTTCTCATTAGTTATCTATTTTATACATAGCATCAATAGTGTATATATGTTAATCCCAATCTCCCAATTCCTACCATCCCCCCTTCCCCTTTGGTATCCATACATTTTTTCTCTACCTCTGTGTCTCTACTTCTGCTTTGCAAATAAGATCATCTATACCATTTGAGAGTCCACATATATGTATTAATATACGATATTTGTTTTTCTCTTTCTGACTTAACTTCACTCTGTATGACCGTCTCTAGGTCCATCCACGTCTCAATAAATGACCCGATTTTGTTACTTTTCATGGCTGAGTAGTATTCCATTGTATATATACACCACATCTTTATCCATTCCTCTGTTGATGGACATTTAGGTTGCTTCCATGTTCTAGCTATTGTAAATAGTGCTGCAATGAACATTGGGCTGCATGTGTCTTTTTGAATTATCGTTTACTCTGGGTATATGCCCAGTAGTGGGATTGCTGGGTCATATGGTAGTTCTATTTTTGGTTTTCTAAGGAACCTGCATACTGTTCTCCATAGTGGCTGTATCAATTTACATTCACATCAACAGTGTATGCGGGTTCCCTGTTCTCCACACCCTCTCCAGCATTTAGTGTTTGTAGATTTTTTGATGATGGCCATGCTGACTGGTGTGAAGTGATACCTCACTGTAGTTTTGATTGGCATTTCTCCAATAATTACTGATGTTGAGCATCTTTTCATGTGTTTGTTGGCCATCTGTATGTCTTTGGAGAAATGTCGATTTAGGTCTTCAACCCATTTTTGGATTGGGTTGTTTGGTGTTTTGATATTGAGCCGCATGAGCTGTTTGTATATTTTGGAGATTAATCTTTTATCAGTTGCTTCCTTTGAAAATATTTTCTCCCATTCTGAGGGTTGTCTTTTATCCTTGTTTATGGCTTCCTTTGCTGTGCAAAAGCTTTTAAGTTTCATTAGGTCCCACTTGTTTATTTTTGTTTTTATTTCCATTACTCTAGGAGGTGGGTCAAAAAGGATCTTGCTGTGATTTATGTCATAGAGTGTTCTGCCTTTATTTTCCTCTAAGAGTTTTATAGTGTCTGGCCTTACATTTAGGTCTTTAATCCATTTTGAGTTTATTTTTGTGTATGGTGTTAGGGAGTGTTCTAATTTCATTCTTTTACATGTAGCTGTCCAAGTTTTCCCAGCACCACTTACTGACTTCTTAATGTGCCCGGCACTGTCCTGTGCTCAGTAATTTCAAGAATCATTATGTTTAAACTTCATCACAACCTTAAGAGATAGATGCAGATGAGCAAAGAGGTAGCACAAGTATTAAGAAGCAGATCAAAATTTGTATCTGACTCTAACAGTTGGGAATCACTGATGTGGACCCTGGGACAAAGCTTGGTGAGGAGACATGAAATTTTATCAGAGCTAGGTTGCTGACATGATGTTTTGGGTGTCCCTTGTCCTGTCCTGGGAATGGGATGAAGAGAAGCAACTGACATCTGGCCCAAACTCTCTGAACCTCAAGCAGTAAGTCCATAGGACAGCAGTATGTATTAGGTGATCAGTAAATGATTGTTGAAAGAATCCATAGCTCCATGTCTGAATACTTAGAAAGCAGGATTTGTGTACAGGTAACCCTCGCTTTTCCAAAATTCTCTTTCTGTCACCTCACTTTGACCAAAGATCTGTATTAGTACCTGTTTCTGCTAACCAAAGGAAATCCAAAGAGGATTTTCATTTTTACACAAAAAGGCAAACAGCGAAAGTGATGTTCAGCCTTTGTTTTGCAGCAGCTCTTACAGAGGCAGCATGAACCCTGACCAGCAAGGCTGGCGTCTCTAAGCTCCGTCCCCTCCCCAGGCAACTACACTCAGGATCCAGCCGCCATGGCTTTGAACTGTGTCTGTGCGCATCTGTGCTTTAGCTAGGTTTACATTGTGCAGCCGTTAGCAAGATGTGCCCTAAGGTAGTGGCGTCTACTTTCAGATAGCAGGGGAAATCTATACCACACTCTTAAGGCAGAAAGATACCAAACATAGCATAAGGTTAATTATCCATAATGGGGCTTAAGTTAGTTTCATAGCTGCTCATCTGACTAAGTCTATTTTGAAGTCCGTTTGGGGCAATGGCATAGACTAACTTCTGTGTAAGGTTTCTGGCATTCACAATAGCTTGAGTTTTGATAAACCTTTAATTGTATTTGAGGATTATCAAACTGAGGCAATTGTTGATCCTAAATGAGAAGAACGGTTTAGCATGCAGACTCTAATGGGTACATTTATCATTTCCTTATCGTACTGCGCTTTGGGCTCGTTGTTGTCTATTTTTCAAGAAAGTAGAAATGCCGTTTCTTAGAATAAAAATGTTCTTTATAATGTAAGCAGTAGATTGAAGCTGTACAGATTGGTTCTTTAATGAAATAGGCAACATTCCAATGGAACTGACAAGCTTTATTTCTATTTGTTGTATTTTTTTTTCTCATTACAGATGGACCCGATTCAGAAAGCTGTAATAAATCATACTTTCGGGGTCCCTCTCCCTCATCGAAGAAAGCAAATCATATCATGCAACGTTTGCCAGCTGAGATTTAATTCTGATGTAAGTTTATCATTTAGTATTCACTGGAAAAGAATGTATTCTGCTGTTCTAAGACGTTTCTTAAACATTTTTCTCCAATAACTGAGCATGTCAAAATGCAAAGGTAACATTTTAACTCCGTATGTGCTTTAAGTTTGGACTTTATTATATTATGTTTGGTTGTTTTCTATAAAAAAAAATCACACCTAAACAAACTGGCATACTTGCACTTTAATGGTATTTTTTAGTCTCTTGGGAATGCTAAATTTAGGTAACACACTTTGCCTTTGGGGAATGGTAGAAATTTAGGAGTAACGAGGCTTTCAGTAAATCACACCTCTGAAATAAGGTAGGTCCCAGATTATATTTCAAAGCCAAGGTTTTGGCTTTGTAAATACTCTTCTCCTGCCCTGACGGTCCCTAATTGCAGATCTCTGGTGTCTTTAATTGTATTTGTGTTAGAGACGTCCAGTCACTGACCTAGAAGTATAAGCATTTTAACACGGGGTTCTGAAGACCTCAAAGGCCCCCAGCCCCTAATGAGTAAAAGTTAAGTGGAGAACGTGACAGGAGCAAGACAGTGTAGACCTGACACTTTGCAAGTTATTCACAGAGAGGGATCCTCATCTTTTATACCTTTTCTAAGGGACAGTGTGGACTCTGGGTTCATCACAGAAGCTAATTTTGCTTGTGGTCAATATGAAGAAAACTGCCGCCCATCCCCATCCTACTTTGGAATGGAGTCGGTCCTGAGATACAGAAAAGAAAAGGGACGTTGGTTTGGAAGGAATAAAAATTGCACATCTTGTTGACACTCTTGGTAAACAGAGGACCCCATCTATCAGAGTGGCCTTTCCAGGGTGCCATGTTATTGCCCTAAATGGATATGCTGTATGGAGATAACCAAACAGCTCTGGATTCTGGAGAATGTTAGGCCTTCCAGTATTTAATCACCCTAGGCAAGTGTGTCCCTTAGCTGATCTGATGATAAGGGTTTCATATGAGATAATCAGGCACAGGAAATAGATGTGGCATAAATAAAGTGGCTTTTTCCTTCCGTGAGAGCATTTCATTTGTATAAGGATTGCTACTGTCTTATGAACTCATACCTACTAGTATAATCATCACGTAATTTTATAACATTCCTTCTGTTGGCTTAAAAAGAGGACTAGATTGCCTGCATAGCACCCGAATGGCATTTGCTGCTGTAAAAAGAATACACTAAACATACAGCATTTTATTTGAAGGGTTGTCTTTTGTTTTTTTTGTTTTGTTTTGTTGTTTTTTTTTTGAATACTGAGCACCTTGATTCAATTTGAATTTTAAGAAAATTACTATAGTTGAATTTATTAAAAAATATTTCAAGTGATGAATGTTATATAATAACCTCTTCCAGCTGGTGTAAAAAACAAAACAAAACAGCTTTCCTGACTTGCAAATAAGAGTTCTGAACTCAACAGTTGCAATTTTGATCATTTTTAAATACTCAGCAAACAATCATATAGTTCCATAATTGTTAAGTGTGTCCTTCTTTATTCCTTTTCTTCTTAAATCATATTGATATTTCACTTTGGTATTGATCAGATAATGTTGCAAAAGTCTCTGAGGAGCCCTGTTTCCCGCTCCTTACGTCTAATAGGGGCTGTTTCAAATATCAACCCTTCTGTCAACAATTTCACTGCTAATGTTTTTCTCTATATTAAGAAAACTTCCTGTAAACTGGAAGCCAGAAAGAGACTTCAAGCTCGTTGAACCCACTCTCCCACTAAATGTAAGAAAACCATTTGCTATATCTAGACTAGGTCTTTGGGTTGATTATCCCCAGTGATGGGTAACTCACCACTTCAAGACACAATTGGTCTTTTTTTTTTGGCAGGTGTTTCTACTAATCCTGTAGATGGATATCAAAGTCATATTTAAAACTTTAGAAATACTGTCAGGTATGCTTTAGGAAACACACTATGTTTCCATATATGATTATTAACATAAAGAACATAATGTAAAATAAAGATTTGCATATTTCTTTTCTAAAATGTAATCTTATTTTATTTCTTAGTAAGAGATTAAAAATGTATTTGTATTCATTTGCTAATGAATTTTCAAAGTGATATAGGAATCAATATGTATTTATTAGGGAAATTGCTTCTCATTCTTATAACTTTGTTCTCAGGTTTCTCTAAAAGGAAAATGGCCAAGGTATTTGGAGAATGGACAAAAATCAGTCTCGGTCGTAATTAAACAATTGCAGACTTGACCACTCATTAGATGGTTACTGTGTTAATCTTTTATTGTTGCTGTAACAGATTACCACAAATTTGGTGGTTTAAGACAACACAGCTCTATTAGTTTATAGTTCTGGAGGTGAGAAGCCAGAAATGGGTCTTACGTGGCTGAAAGCAAGGTGTTAGCAGGGTGATGTTCCTTCAGGGGCTCTGGGGGAGATTTCAGTTCCTTGCCTTTCTTTTTTTTTTTTTAATACTTATTTATTTTTTATTTATTTGGCTGTGCTGTGTCTCAGTTGCAGCACGTGGGATCGTTAGTTGCGGCATGCAGGATCTTAGTTCCCTGACCAGGGATCAAACCCGGGCCCCTGCATTGGCAGTGTGGAGTCTTAACCACTGGACCACCAGGGAACTCCCCTTGCTTTTCTTTTCTAGCTTCTAGAAGCTGCCCTCTTGGCTCGCGACCCCCTCCCATCCTCAAGGCAACGAGGCCAGTTGAGTTCTTTGCTTGTGGAATTACTCTCTCTCTCTTTTGCCTCCCTCTTCCACATTGAAGGACCTTTGTGATCACCATGGACCCACCTGGATAATCCAGAATAACTTTTCTATTTTAAATTTAGCTGTTCAGCAACCTACTTTCATCTGCTAATTTAATCTCCTTTGTCACGCCACGTAATGTAACATATCCATCGATTCCAGGGATTAGGACTTAAACATCATTATCCTGCCTACCATAGGTACTCACGTGGATGTCTGACTTACATTTGAACTGAATTTCATGACCACCTGAATTTATCAGATAATTACCCAGTCCAAATCTTCGGTCTGTATAAACTGGACACATGAATTCAGTGCCCTTTTCCTTGCCTTGAACCTTGAATATAAATTCACTATGCAGTGCAAGTTTTTTAAATTGCAGTTTTTTTTAATAGGAAGACCCAATGTTATTGAGTTTATAAATGACATAGCAACATATTAACTGTGATTTACAAACAAAATATAATTATTGCAAAATTGAAATACAGGAGTAGAAACTCCTTTAGAGACTTTAAATATCTCCGTAGCATTATTATGTCAATAAAGGGGAACTAATGTGCTGAAAATATAAGATTTGTTTATTTATTGACTGGTCATAACTATATATACTATTTCATGAAATATTTAGTACTGAATGCCAAGATCAATTGGATTTATCATTCATTCATTCATATATAAAAAAAGAAAATACATACCTATGTATGTGTATATATGTATACATACATATGTATGTGTATATATACGTATATATATATTTATATAGATGTATAGATATAGTTATCGAGCATTGTATTCCCAAAAAGCTTTAAATCCCAATACAACTGTCTGTTTGCTCTTTCCAGGTAAATCTGGAATTTATCTTGCTATTTCCATTCTTAAACCTAGAATCTGGAAAAGTAACACTGTAATTCACTTGTATGCTTGGTTGAATCCTCTATCACATAGGAAAGTATTTTTGCCTTGTGAACCTTTTTACATTTCAAAGCTTCTTCCCTTCCAATGAAAATAATAGCTTCTAGTTCTTTTCATCTCTGCATCATGAAAATTCAATTTCCTTTCCCTCTAAGCTTTTATTTATTTTTTTAACCCTTCGTATTATAAAGTCTGTAGTTTGGTGTTATGCCATACCCGTTTCCTGTACAGTACTTTTTCCATTTTTAGCCCTGCAGATATCTTTCTAAGTGGCACACTATATTGTATGCACTTTAAATCAGATTGCCTTCTCCTGGTGCAGGCTTTTTCTTTGGGAAAAAAAAAAAATTCTTTTTGACATTTATGTGAAACACACATTAGGTTATGCAGAAAGCTTCCAATTAAAGAATGAAAGGTTGTAATTTGTCCAATTATTTTATCAGCATCTTAAAATCAGCATAAATTACCATTGGCCTGGACCAGTTAGGAAGTGTGCCTTTGAAAGACAACTTACAGCAAGGCCAGCACATATGTAAAATTATTAAGTGAGGTAGAAAATGAATTACTCAATGACTGTTTATAGAATGGGAAATAAGATCTCAGGCCCCAAAACTGAGGGATCATAAAATTGCGGTATCTGATCATCACTCTGGTTAATATCCCCAAAAGAACATTTCATGATATGTTAAAGATGGAAGGAAACTTTTGCTAATTTCACAGTGGAAACTGAAGTGTAGAGAGAGTGTAGGAGGCTTATACCAGGCCACCTAGCCAGAGGCTAGCCACACAGGGTTGGAGTCCACTTCCAGGCTGTTTCTGCTTCACTGGTCCAGGTAGGGCAGCAAGTCCGTCCAGAGATCCAGCAGCTGTGACAACAATGGCATGGATGGCATCCTGTGTGTTTCCTGCCCAGTCCAGCTGCCCCAAAGAGAAAGCCTGAGGGCTCCTTCCCCCATGGAACTAACCCAGGGCAGTCAGAGCTGCTGTGGAGGTCACCCTCACTGCGGGCTAGGCTCCACCACAATGACTGACAAGTCCTCCCAAACGGCATCACTCCTGTTCACTCACACAGTTCAGTCATAAACATGGTGAAAATTTAAAGATAAATGCAAACTACTGAACTATAATACAGTAACAACAAATCCTTTATCACAGAATGGCCAAGCATTAATTATTTCAGGTGACTGTTATGAACCAGAGGAAAAGCAACCTCATTAGAAGATAACATTAGGGCTTCCCTGGTGGCGCAGTGGTTAAGAATCCACTTGCCAATGCACGGGACACGGGTTCGAGCCCTCTTCTGGGAAGATCCCAAATGCCGCGGAGCAACTAAGCCCATGCGCCACAGCT